CTCCATCCCTACCGCCGTCTTCATAGGTGGTACTTGAGGCATTGGCCGTGCAATAGCAGAAGCCTTTGCATGACACGCCAGAGGGAACGCCAGGATCATCTTAGTAGGCCGCAAGAAAGCTGCAGCCGAAGAGATTATCACTGTATTCCCAAAGCCTTCGAATAAAGATCTCTGGCAGATTGAACATGAATCTGTTCAATGCGATGCGATGTTAATGAAGGACATTAAACGGGTCATTACTGATTTAGTTGTTGGATTACCCGAGGTTCGTACAGAGCTCCTCCTAATGTATCTGCAATTTGAAACTAATATGATTTCTTTGACCAGATAAACTATCTCGTACTCACTGTCGGCATATACAGTGTTTCTCCCTGGGACCCCACACTAAAAGGCATCAACAAGATGCTTGCAGTGCATTACTACGCCCGGTGGAAACTCACATTCGACTTGCTTCCTCTTCTTCACAAAGCTAAAAGCCAACAGGAAGATGCAAACGTTTTCTCATTATTGGCGTGTGGGAGGAGTAGGCCTATTGGTGTAGATGATTCCATGGAGAATGGGTATACGTCGTTGAGAGCTATAGGCGCGGGCCTACGTATTATGATCTGGCATTGAGGTACGTTTTAACGATATTTATAGTAGGCTTAAATCATGATTTATTTATCTCATATAGGTAGGAGTCGCAATCCGGAATCCGTCTATAACCTTTTTCCATGCCGACCCAGGCATCGTCCTCACAAACCTCGCCAACAACTCTCTTTCTCCCCTTCTATCAATCTTTGCTCCAATCATAAGCGTTGTTATGTATCCCTTCTCGATGTCTCCGGCGGAATCCGGGGAACACCTGCTCTATGGAATGCTCGCGCATCCCAACGAGAGTGGTAGTAAGAATTCTTCAGAGTTAGTTCGAAGGGACAGTATCTAAAGAGGGAGGGCTATATTGGAGGTAAAATGGAGCGAGAAAAACTGTGGGAGTATACAGAAAAGGTCGTTAATGTATAAAGCAGACCAGTGGTTTAGATTTCTGTTTGTCTAATATTTATGCACACATAAGTTCCATAGAGAGTATTCGCGGTAATATCAATGTTCCAAGGGACTGATTCGGAGTCTCAACGACTATTAACGATTCACGTATACAATTTCAAGCATTTAGACCGTGGATAACGTCAAAAAACATAAACGTGTATAAACCCAGTAGACGCCCCAACCAACAAGCCCTTCCTGGTCCGTGCGCTATCACCTCTCTTTATAACCCTCTCTCCCAGTCCCTTTCCCTTACTCTAAAACTGACGACGCGGATGCCCTCATGTTCTCGTGTCCGCGGATGGGTGGCCCGCCATAGCACGGTGACACAGGTCCTCAGCGACCGCCTACGGTGTGCGGCTTAACGTTACAGTAATTCATGCCTCGTCTAAATGTTTTCCTGTCCAGGTTAGCCATTGTGGTGGCCGGGCAAACCTTTTTTTTTTTTGGTTGGTTGGTTTGGTTAACCCTAACCTTAAATTGATTATGTAATTATTAATAGATACTATATTCGAGAATTGATTTTCTTTCTGCTTGAAGCCGCTTTCACGTTGTTTTACACGAACAATTCTTACATAAATTAATATGGTACCGATACGAAAACAATATTCATTACTTTGACCAACATTTCCAAATGCCGGAAGATCGCTGTTGCCTACTACGGATAGTTTGGTCGTCCCTCCTGCAACTCCGCCAATTCGAATATACTGTGAGTAGTCTTACTAACATGTATTCAATATTGGTTGACATTCTAGGTGTATATACAATTCTGTAATAAGTAAAGAAAGAAATATGAATAGTGAATAATAAGAGAGAATAGATTTTTTTTGAATTTTCGAACCTATACCCTGATCCGTCTGACTGAGCCTGACCGAGCCTGACCAACTTGACCAACCTGATCAGTCTGATCAAGTCGGCCCAATGTGCGACCTGATACAGCCTGATCATGCCGGGTCGTGCAATTTGGATTTTTGCGACATGTGACTGTAATCCTGCCAGCGGCCATCGGTCTGATTCGAGTGAGGCCGAAGGACATGGCATAAGCAAAAACGACATTTAGAGGGGAGATATTGGTAAGGATAGTAAACAATCATGTAGAATAACACAAGGATAATAGAGAAAAAGTATAGGATTATGGATAGGATATTGTTAAGGGCGGCGTACTAGGGCGTACTCAAATATCACGAACGACACACCGGCATGTAGGTAAATATCATCCAAAAATTGTAATTCGGGATATTACACCCAGGAGTATAGGATACAAGAAAATATGAAAGAACTGCCCCATAACACCCTTTTTCCTTTTAATCTCGCTTCGCTCATTTAACGGAGATGCGGACAACGAGGTCCGCAGCACTAATTTAAACCCAACGGCTCCTCGAGGCCGTTTTCGTCATCCCTTAGGACTCTTGCAGTAAATGGACGGCATCATCCCTCGTGACGGGAGTAGCACCCCTTTACGAAACAATGAATAAGCCTATCTATTTCTCTTACGAAGCATCCTTCGTTTGTAAGTTCTCTCTATCGCCATCAAATAACCAATAAATCCTTAGAGACACGATAGGCTGATATAGCGCATCTTCGGAGTTATACTTATGGGAGGGTCAACCGAGGTGAGAATCCGGATCAGTGTATTTACTGATACGGTGATTACGGAAAGCGTACGTATGCTTCGGCAACCAATTGATGCTTGTAACGTTAGCCCTACTCAATTCTTGTGTTCCCTAATTCCCTTGGCACGTTCCCAAGTTTTGGCCGCCAATGATTTGGTGCTAACGGACTGCCGAGGGAACTCTAAGAAATGATTTGATTTTTCCTAGGGTTTTCCCTCGATCCGACTGAGTCTGACTAAGTCCGACCTTGCATAACGTAAGCCCGCCGCGCTGCACTGTAGCAAAATGGACGCGCCTCTGATAGAAAATAGAGGGCCGATGAGAGCAGAGGGGAGTGTTCTATATGTCGAATGCGGCGGCGAGCCATATGCAAACCATATGTGACTTGGTGTCACTACCTCGGGTGTCACAGTGGCGGAGGCGGCGATGAGCGTTTGTTTGCGGAGGTGCTGACGAAGCACAGACTAAAACGCTTGGCAAATGTTTAGGGAACTGAGGGAAGGGTTCAAAGGGTTCCCTAGATTCCCTGAGTTCCCTAAATTTTTGAGCCCGACCGCTCGGCTCGCCATATCGTCGGGTATCCCCAATCGGTCAACTAAGCCCGTGCCGACTAGGGAACGTCACTAGGGAATGAATTGAGTAAGGTTTGCTCCGAAATGAGCTTCGGCATGGTGACTAAGGCCGGAGGCCAACCTGTCGGATGCTTCGGAACGTGCTAGAATTGAGTACGTTGTCCCGCAAGTTGTCCCGCAGTATACAGCTGCATACGTAAGCTATAACACTGTTTGACGTGTGACGCCTGTGACTTCTACGTGATGAGCGCGCCGCCCCCGCCCCCGCCACCTGCCAATCACTGGCATGCAGCTAGATATAGCTCTGTGATGCAGACACCTGCCCGCCAATCCGCACTCCTGCCTCTCAACCACCTATATGCGCCTCCCCATGCCCGTTATTCTTCCCAAGGTGGTCACCGATCTCACGAGACGAATACAGGATCTGCACGGACGGCGGACTATGGTCACGCTAAGTCACCCTACAGGAAGAGTCACAGGAGGAAGGATCGTCCAAAAAAGGACGCTTTGTCAGCTTGCTGCAGGGGCTCGCCAGTGCCAAGCGGCTTGGAGCGACTTGCGGGAAATGCGGGACACCTCGCGAGGTGTCCCGCATTTCCCGCATTTTCGTGCCCGACAGAGTGGATCACCAACTGTCCGGGTTTCCTTGGCTGTCCCCACTAGGTCGTTGCCGTGCGCGCTAGCTCGCGGGGACAACGATCGGGACAGAATTGAGAAGGACTAACGTCACTAGGGAATGAATGAGTAAGGCTATTGATGCAATTGGCGCGTTAACACGGAAGAAAGGGATCCTATATAAGCGGAACAATGCTGGCAACCGTATACCAGATCCGCTACTATTCATCCTTAAACCATGTCTCCGAAGGATCAGTTGAATCAGGTTCCAATATGAGGCGAGTTGTCACCGGTCTAGGTAAAGCGAAAATATTATATGATGATAGGGAGGGGAGGGTAGAGTAAGTTCACATATCGCTGTCAATAAGCCTTATGCGGGTTCTAACTTAGGCACGTGTATAATTAGAACCTTTCCAGACGGTTCGAAGTAAGTCCTCATATCTTTAAATCGACAATACCGAGTCTTATTCTATCAGCTTCCAGACAGTTTGGTTGACCGATAGCGTTCCTGCTGATGTGACAAGGGAGACTAATGAAGACCCAACTAAAGGAGAGAAGTTATATCAAGGACCAGTAAATGATGGGTCTGTAAGTGACATTCACTTTCAAATTTACCTCAGACATCTCATTAATATTCTATAGGTAGGATTGTTCGTCAATTTCTCTCCAGGGGCCCGCGCTCCCATGCTTTCTACCAAGTCCATCGATTATGGCATTATCGTTGAAGGAGAACTTGAGCTTGAGCTCGATAATGGAGAGAAGACCGTACTCAAAGCTGGGTATGTTTTACATTATCAGGTTTATGATTACAAGGAAGAATTGGTGCTCATTTAAATTATTTTATAGAGATGTAGTTGTCCAAAGGCAGACAAAACACGCTTGGCATAATCGACATGCAAATCAATGGACCAAAGTATTCTTCGTTTGCATCGCTTCAGCAAGTTCTATAGACAAGAAGAAGAATTGATGGCAGGTGTTCGGGCTTGTCTTTGTAAAATCTTCCTAATTCTGGAAGATCAATTCTCCTTGCATTAATAATATATTTAAGCCACCTCCATTAACAATCGATTGAATAGATTTTCGGATTTCGAGTTTGTGTTGAGTGTTCGAACTTTATTTGGCTCAAGCGTCAATCATCTAAGTACTAGTATTGTCCTTGCCTTTACGGGTTTCTATCGGCGTGGTGGTCTAGAGGTATGATTCCTTCTTAGGGTTTAAAAACTTATATGGAGGAGGTCCCGGGTTCAATTCCCGGCCAGGCCCTTTTACCTATATTTTTGAGGTTAAATACATTGATTTGTGAAGTCGAGACTCGTTGCCATGCAACCAATGAACTTTCCAACATAGCTGATTATTGGAAACTTTATCTTTATAGAAGGCACCGTAGGTTAGTGCATACGCCAAGCTTAAGATTGGAAGATCCAGAATCATCTCAATGTGTGAATCTCGAAGTTTTACCGGGTCACTATGATTGCACAGGCAATATCCGCTGAAAAACAGTTCAATGCTTCTGTTGAACCGCTACTCGAAATGCAGTTTCACCAAACAACATATGCTAAGAGAATATATTATAATTAGAAGGGAGATATTTAGGTCAATATACAGTACACTTTTTAATAATGCATAGCATCAGGAAGGCCCCGAATTCAATGCAATATTAGAATTATGCAGTATCAGAGGGTGTTTTGGCTGGGAGGTGGGCATTTTATTCTGGCCGAATGTTATGCATTATCAAAAGGTGTACTGTGTCTGAGATCTAGTAATAGCGCACGATGAACTAACGATATTCATGATGGACGGTGTATTCTAGGACAGTTATGCGGGGGCTTCAGGAGTTGAAACGAAATAACTCGCTTCGTGGGCTTGTGACTCTCGCGGTGAGTCCTTGTAGATGACTGGGGTTTGACTGGGAAGATCTGTAGCTTGAGGCAATATTTCGTTCGAAGAAAGCTTGATGCAGTCAATATCGATCATGATAGATACATCTAATAAACATTTTTAAATTTCGAGTCCTTGTCTTTACTTATGCTAGGGCAAGATAACAACCAGAAACGACGAGACACTCACTCAGCTCATTCTCCATCAAATTACCGGACACTTCAAATTCCTTTTCTTATAACACCCGGGAAAGTATCCATAAGATATTTTAGTTGATCAGCATCTGATCTTCCTCTTTTGTCCGGTTGAAAGTGGACCTTTGAGTGATGCCCGAGGTAGATGCGGATTTTATTTTGGATACGCATATGTGCGAACAGGAAGCGAGTGAAGTCGTCACAAGAGACCTTTGTCTCGGACAGAGAAATGTATTCCAGTGTCGGATTTCCTTCGCTAAACACTGGAAGAAATCCCCAGGCAGGCAGCATGCAGTGAGATAGAGATACCGCAATGTCGGCGCAGTTGCTAACATGTCCTTAGTATGTTCGATAATGACACCAGCGAATTTAATAGTCTCGAGTTTTGGGAGGTTGGATGAAGCCGTAAGGCGACAATCACGGTAGCCATGCTGGTATTCAATGCTGACCGTACAGACTTATGGAAGTCGTAGAGAATTTTGAATCAAGTGAGATACAACGTTCATACCGTCTAACAGGGTAAGAAAATGTAGACTCGCGAGATGGATTGGGGGTAAATTACCCTTAATGGAGTGAATCTGCATTGTCAAAGTGTTGAAATTATGTGCGACTTGACTGAACTTGAGGAGATTTTTTTAAATCCAAAAAGGCGGTCTTCAGGTCTCAAGATGCTTCAAACAATCCTTGGATAAACGTTGCAAAAAGCCAGGAGCATTTCGAGCGCGGATATATATTAGAATGGGCGTCTGGATAGGCAGAATAGACGGCTTCGGTTTCCAAAAACCGGCGAGATTGTGAAGAGTCCGTAAAGTAGGCATCAATAGCGAACTTTTCTTGAGGTATTTGAGGACCTTCAACGCGGACGATGATTCAATCAATAAAAGCTGAATTCGATCAGCATTATCCCGCAATAGTTCGGCGGTGTGTTGTACATCAGGAGAGTTGGCAAATGCTATAGAGGCTATATAGCATCCGTGGAGACCGTAGCCTCCGTAATTTATGTACACTATGATAGTCTCCATAGCTTGCATGAAAGTCATGTCATTTTGCGCTAGCATAGTGGCCGCTGGTAATATGAACACCTATGCAGCACACTATAGATCCTGTAGCCTCAGTAGGCATTGCTAGTGCTATATTTATTGATTATTAATGCTCAATATTTATAAATTATCTATGCCAATTATGCAGTATTTTATGGACAAATAATAGAAATATGTTTCGTATTTAAATACATGAGGTGCCTGTAAAAGACGCATCAGGAAAGTTGTCATACATGGCTAAATGCCCTCCTAGCAGACCGATGTCCTATCTAGCACTAAATAGACTATGAGTAGTATGGACTGCTACACTCCAGCTAACCATCGCTAAGCTATGGACCTCCAAATCTGTTTACTCGAACGAGTCACGTGTAGTTCAAGGTTCCTTCATGTTCCAACTCTCACCCCCGACCCCCACCACGCCATGGCAAGCATTACACCAAGTTACTACTTAATCTTATTGCCTCTGTCGTTAATATCTTTGAAGACGACTTTCTATGCTGTCTGAATGTTCTGCATCATTCCTGCACATTGTTCAAGGCTCTGCTTGCTGCTTGACTCTGCTCGTTTCATCAATCCTGAGTCTGCAGCCTTATGCTATCCAGTGCTTCTCTGTTG